AAGAGACCACCTGAAGAAAACGTAGATCTTGGAATTCGACTGATGTGCACCACCAACTAGTAGCAGTTAGCAGGGATGGTGAATGCTGATGCTCCCTTTTGAAACTCTGCATGTAAATTTATAGATAGTCATCATGGTACGGTTCGTTAAAAGATCGACTGCTCTCCCATTGCTCTTCCAAAGATGAGAGACGCGATAGTGAAAGTGTTGGATTTGGGAATAGCACAGACCTTCTTGTACAAGTCAATACCACCTGGTCCTGTGGTCACGCCTGCTCAAGCTTCCTTCTTCCATTGGGTTGTATCTGCCTGATGATTGACTGGCAGATGAATCCCGGTCTAGCTTGCATTCCTGAGCAGGTGATGAGAAAGGGTCAGCTGGTGCAACAAGTATACACATAATGACCGTATGCATTAGCCTTTGAGTATGGATAAGATTGACGTACTTCACGGACTAGCAAGTCATCCATTTCGAGCATATGGATCACATGCCCCATTTTAGGCCGTTTATGCGCGTCAGGGTCGACACATCGGATGGCCACCAGAAGAGCCCTTTTGAATGCTTTTGGAGATGGCTTCTTGGGCATCCTAGGATCCACCACTTCCTCGGACTTTCTATCCCCAACCATGGTCTTTAACCAGTCAACCAAATTCACCTGAAAAAGATGACATTATTCATTATATATAGCATAGTTATTTCAAAGATGTTGAACTTCTTTTTCTATCAACATAAGAAAATTTCATTGAGAAATCATGTTCTGTGGGAGAAAGGAAACCTCTCCAGGACGTCTTGTGTAATCGACGGGTGCCCTTCCTGATATAATTTCCATGATAAGGACTCCAAAGCTATAGATATCACTTCTCTCATTCAGCATGCCAGTGCTAGCATATTCTGGTGCCACATAGCTGCAATTAACAACAAACTTAAGAGTCACAATGATCTTCTATGCAAGACAACAGGCTTCAGTATAGAAAAATGCTCAAACTCACCCAAAAGTCCCCATAACACGGGTCGTCACATAACTCCTTTCAGAGCATAGGAGTTTCGCAAGCCCAAAATCTGAGACTTTAGGATTCCAGTGTTGATCAAGTAGAATGTTACTAGCTTTGACATCACGGTGAACAACCTTTGGTTCAAGCCCCTCATGAAGATAGGCCAAGCTGTGACAATCATTACCAAATTTAGATATTTAGTTGTACCATCTCATCGATAAAAGTAGACATGTTATGGCCCTAATAGCATCGAAGAAAATTAGCATTTGTAAGAAATCAGTGCATTTTATAATGCAAAAAAAAAAACTGCAGCCATTTTTTCTACCGAACTTGTTTATGGCCATCAATAATTTTTGTTAGGGAAGGGATTATGCTTGGTATCGACTGTTTCCTTCTATCTTTGTTTTGCTGGAAATAGGACCCTGAAAAGGGCAGGACACCTGAATAAATGGATTATAACAACATAATCCTAATAGATTTGGACTAAGGATAAGAAATCAGATAAAATAGCTTGCAAGAACTTGAACATGTCCAACAAGTCAGATGTCTAAAAATCAAGGATCTTCACCACTAATTGAATAGGCCTAGATGGTTGCCATGTTACTCTATAAATGTTTTAAGTGCAGTTAAACTAAAATTGAATTATCAGATCTGAATTCCGGAAATGCCTTCAGTCAGAAAATTACAAAAACTATTTCTAGAGCTGAATTCCATAAATGCCTTCAGATCTGACAATGTCATGATCAGATTGCCAGTTTGATGCTCATTTGAGTGGTAAGCTACAAACAGGAGTGTAAATAGAATATTCCAAAAACTATTTCTAGGGCTGAATTCCATAAATGCCTTCAGATCTGACAATGTCATGATCAGATTGTGAGATTGATTCTTCACTTGGGTGATTCTTATGCTTACATCAACAAGATATTATTTCTTAAACACTTCAATAAAAGCTCCTTTCACAGAGTAGCAAGATCAATACATTTTCCATGATACAAATTGTATACTTCCTGTAAAGAATCCAATGAAACAAGACAAGAAGTTGCTAACCACCTACTCCATATATGAGAGAGAGAGAGAGAGAGAGAGGATGGGAAAACATACCCTTTTGCAGTTCCAAGAATTATGTTCATCCTGATATCCCAAGTCAGAGGACTGACTTCTCCAACATTTCCATGAAGCCACTGTTCCAGATTACCATTGTCTACATACTCATAAACAAGCATCCTAGCCAAAACAAAAGTATGTAGATTAGCATATCATTCCTTACGCATCCTACCCTATGCATTTAGCTGAATCGCAGCAAGAAACTTCACAGTCAATCAACACACTGACTGGAGTACCTATATGCCCCCTCAGCGCAGTAACCAAGCAATCTAACTAGATTCTTGTGCCGGGCACGCCCAATTGCCTCAACTTCGACTTTAAATTCCCTCTCTGCTTGGCCCCTGATTTAAAAAGATTAAAGAAGGAGAAAAAATGAGTAGAGTTTTCTTGTAATTATTTTAATATACTTACAATACAGATCATGATCAAATGCTCTCGGCTCACAGGTGAAGCTACAATCTAAGCAACATTTTTTCAAGAAGAATCAAATCCGCAAGTGAATTGGAAGCACACTCCGATCTTCCACTGAGTGCCGACCAAGAAAGTAGATTAAACATCTAAAACACAAACAATTTTAGGATGGAATCACAGCATGAAAGTAAAAGAAGTGCAAATTTCATCATGATGCAATCTATGACTCGAGCAATTGACCGATCTATCATTTGGGAATCGAGCACGCACCTATTGTTGAGCAAGTTCTTCACGGCGACCGTGGTGTTGTCCGCCAAAACTCCGCGGTACACGATACCGTACCCACCCTCCCCGATCACGTTCTCCTCAGCCAGCCCACCCGTGGCCTCCTCCAGCTCCCGCAGCGTGTACCAGTGCCCCCACCCCAGATGCGACACCTCCGGCGGGCCCCCGCCGCCCACATTGGACGAGGGCGTGCCACTGGTCTCCCCGCTGGCGGTCCCCGTCGTGGACGAGGACGGCGGTGCCAACGGGTAACGCGGGTGGCTGTTGTGCTTGTGGTGGTCGGCACTGCCGATGTGGATCCGCACATCATCGGCGGCGGCGGTGGCTGAATGGTGATGGCGGATCTCGGGGATGTCCTTGGAAACCGGTGGGGAGGGGTCCTGGAGGTGGATCTTGAGGGACTTCTGCGGCTTCTTGCTCGGGGAGGAGGAAAGGGTGCGGCGGCGGCGGCAGGCGAGGCAGAGGGATAGGAGGAATAGGACGAGGGCGAAAGCGGCGCCGACGCAGATTCCAATCACCACCCACAACCTGAGTCCGAAGATGGACGTCTTCTTCGACAACTCGCTGTTGAAGAATCCCCCACGCCAAAACGACATCTCTCTCTCTCTCTCTCTCTCGCTCTCTCTCTCTTCCTCGAACAACTCGTTATAATCTAATATATATATAGAATGTCCGTCTCTCGGTAAAAGAATCAGAACGAATTGAGGAACAGAAGAGGACGAGCAGGAAATGAGTGCGAATAGATAGAGAGAGAAAGGGAGAGAGGTGATTGATGTTATTACAGTATAGAAGACTATTAATTAGTGGGTTGATGAAGGGGATAATCAAGTCTTGTGAGAGCGGAGAGAGAGAAGCAGCGCGGCCGGCCATTGCCACCGAGAAGAGGATGTGGCACACGTGACGGCGGAAGCGCAGTAAGAGAGAGAATGACGTGTGTCAAAAAAGGTTTACGACTATATCGGTGTTTTATGTAACGGCTACCAGAAAACGTTTTTGGAATCGATGTGTTTCTAACGAGAGATACTGTTTTCAAGTAAAACATACGATATTAAACGAATTGCCCTAAAACTTAGATTATGTAACGCTTTCGATTGCACATTGAGTGTGATCAACAATAATAGATGTACAAAATTCTGGTGCTGACATTAATGCTTCCAAATATAAGCAATTCGAAAAATGTGTATGTACGAGTGTATTCATGTTATAAACTATACTCAGGCATCTGCTCATTGAAGGGGAAAATTGCTGCAGATCTGCGAAATCTGGAATGAGAGGATCGAGGATTCTCCTTTCTTACGAGGTTACCAGTGATCTTGCAGTTCTTGACTGATTAGAATAAAGTGCTCTCCCAACAATTGGTTTGATGCTGCAGGAGGAAGGGAAGTATCAAAGGAAAGATACTCCTGTCCAGCTTTGTAGTTAAAGAGTATTGAGAAGGAAGAATCTGGTCAAGCTAACTGGATACTGTCGCTGCCTCTCCTGCTGCTGACTTCTCTGTTACTTTGTCGTGGAAGTTCTCTCTTTTTAGATTGCTTATTTTGGGACTTTGGGATTTGTATGTTATAATATCATATATATATATATATATATATGAAATTATAGTTATAAAATATAATTTCATGTTTATATTTTGAGAGTTTGGGATTTGGATCTAATAAGTATTTTAGATATATAAAATAGTAATTGGAAATTCCACACCAAAGATGCATGGACTCGGTCAGTCCTACAAACAGTTGTCACGCGTGTTTCGGGTCACTGCACCATTTGAAATCCTTGGCGTTCTGCGTCCCGTTTCAAAGACGTCTTCCACAAGACCACCATGTGACTTCAAAAGTAGGTTCGTCACCGATGGAATTCACGGAGCTGCCAAGAGTGCGATGCACGCCATAGCAACGATCTGGAAGGCAGCACTGCACACTCTAACCTCCCCTGTTTCTCCACATTCAAAGAAGAGAAAGCTGAAGACATGAATGATTCGTCTCTTTATTTCTCCTTCAATCAACTCGATGGTTGTGAAGATTATGCTTTGGCTTGGAATTGGAACCACCGGTGCCATTCTTTTATTCGTCACTATTGGGAAGTAACAGAGTCTGGGTCATCAAAACACGTCAAGGACGACGACGACCGATCAAAGGCTTCTCGAATCACGCTCCATTAACCAGTAGGCAAATGCTCTAGTATCCATTTGCGTCAGCCACCAATTGGACTCCACCTGTTCAACCTCTGCTTCATGAATAAAAGGGCAGGCACCATAGACGCACCTCAAGGAAAGAAAGAGCAGTTGATCGCAGATCTCCTCCTCGCTTTGTTCTGCCAACTCTCCTGTAAGCCATGTTAAAGGTCAGTTCAGTGGCTGCACTCCCAGCCTCCAATACCCTCTGGTTTCCAGGCACCAGAATGGAAGGCTTTGCAGTGGTTCCTCCATCTAAGAGAACAGCAGAGATAGCCAAGAGCCGGGAAGAGCTCCTCCGGCTCTTGCATGATCTCCCGGAGTGCGAGTACGAGCTCTCCCTCACCGATCTCATCGAGAAAGGACCGGTCGCTGCTGATTCAACCACTGCAGAGAGTAGCCCGTCCTTGGAGGAAGGCAAATCGGATCAGGCATCATTGGCGAAGAAGAGGAAGCAGGACATGAACAGGAGCAACAAGCGTAGTTTTCGCAGCCATAGCGATGGTGTGCTTTTGAGGTTTTACGTGCCGGCTTCCTTGACGCGAAGCCTTACCACGCCACGGACGAGCCGCGGACGTCGGTTCAAATCCACAAAGGAAAGCAACGAGAGGTAATCTAATCGTTATGAAATCTAGTAATTTTGGATCCTTAAACGAAGTTAATAGGAAGTGAAAGATATCAATCTTTTGAGTAACTCAATGAAGTGTTTGTTCTGATTGTTGCAGAGATGGAGAAGTAATCCCATTCGGATGTTGGTCGGCTTTATGGAATAGGAGGGGGAAGTCGAGCAGGAAGGCGCTGGAAAGAATGAACTGAACACGAATCGGTGCTGATGGAATAATGTCAATGCTTCGCCTTATAAATTTATGGATTAGATATTAAGACGCTATACTCGATTAACGTGCAATAACGAATGTACATAAATAGTTCCACAGCCCAACCTGCCTCTTAGTTGGGCCATCAACTCATCCGTCTGCTGCTCATTCATTTATTTAATTATCGATTTTGTTTTCTCATCTTGTAGGTAATTTCGTATGTTTCAATGTATTGATGATGGAAGAAGCAATAAGCATATGTTGTCTTGTCGTGTGTCATGTGGACTACAGTAATTTTCCAGAGAAGGATAGATGATTATCCATACAATCGGCTGCAGAAGCTGAAAATAACATTCTACTGACCAGATTTATGATCGTATTTGATTCCGCCGTCGATGCAAGAAAGGTAGTCGATGCATCGACGGAGGAAGAGTTGTCAGCACCGAGTTCAGACCCATCACGTTCATGAGACGTACGTCGCAGGAAAGACCCATTAGCCCATTAATGAAGGAACCTTTCGATGCTTCCACTGGAACCCGGTTGCATTGATGTGTGGTAGGTGAACTGATCGCGAGAGCTCACTTACATTTTGCCGAGGGAGCAAACCGTAGAGAAGCTTAGCATCCCTTCCACATCTCCATGCTTCCAGCTCGCATTTGCACTCTAAAAGTCCATCGGGAAGCGTGAAATCACAAGGCAGCACCTAAAAGTCAACTAAACCTACGTCGTGCAGATAAGCCTCGCCACCGGAGCATTCGCGTGTTGAAGAGCCGATTGAAACTAATGTCGTTTTGTGGAGATCAAGATGTTGAATTCGTTTTGTCCTGTCTGCTAAAGAGTTGTGTCTTCTATTTTATGTAAACTAAGCTCTGAATTTTACGAGCAAAACCAAAGATCGAATGAGATTTTAGGTAACTCGAGAGGTAATGGGGACTGGAAATCGAGTTTAAAGACGTCATATAACGCATAAAGACAAGGGAAGAGGAGTTGTACAGATGGATGGACGGATGTAGCTTTTGGTTGTGGCTCTGCTTCTGCATCTCAGAAATGCCGGCGAGGTGGAAGCCCGGAGTAGCCATGGCGGAGAAGATCGGGGGTCTGCTCGTACCCGGAGAACACGTCGTCCCATATCTCGGCGAACGCACGGAGGATGGTGCGATGGTGCCGCTGGGAATTGAGCGCAAGAAAACGGCGGAGCAGCTCCCTCAACTCCGCACCATCCACGATTTCCTTCTCAACGATCATATGCAGCATCGACCGCCGAAACTCCCCGAGCGGGTCCTCCGTCTCCTTCACCACCACGATGCTGTCCTCCAGTCCTTGCCCTCCTTGGCCGCTGCTCCACCGATTCCCCTTCTTCTCATCTCTTTGGCCATCAATGGACAGGGGAGCGTGGCTCCCGCAAGCGATCACGCTCTGCTCCAATTCGTTGAGTTGGCGTAGAAGCTCCGAAAAGCTCGGCGTGCTCGTGGATCTCTCCATATTCACCTCCACATCCTCCTCCTCGTAGAAAGAGGAGGATCCGGAGGTGAGGGTGATGGTATCCGCAGAAGAGAATTCCGCGACCCTGCGCGCCGGTGGCAGAGTCGACGTAGACTTGCTGCCGAAGCTGCCTGACACCGAGACCGATTTGGCGTCGGTACAGCCACAGCCAAGGGACAAAAATGAGCTGCTTCTCCTCTTCCGCGCACCGGTGCTCATCTTGCCCCTCTTCCTCTTCAAGCCCTCTATCAAAGCTGGTATCTGCCCAGCTGCCTTGTGGACTAAATTATCTCGCATCGCATCCACCTCTTATGGTCCCTCGCCCGACATGGACTGGCAATCGAGGGGTTAGATTTGGCTTACGCAGCACATGCACATGCTGGAATTAGGTCAAGTTGGTGGGAGACGATGGTTAGCTGCAGCTATATATAATTCTTCTGCCTCGGAGATCGATTCAGCCACCATTTCAGGCTCGAGAATTTAGTCCACTTGTATGCTTCCGGGACTTGGCATGCTGGGAGACTACTGTGGAAGGGATCAAAGTCAGCATTGAGTGCAGACAAAAGATCGACCGTAGAGGAATATTTTAGCCTCTGACAGCTAGGGCATGATCAAGGTGATGGGCATGTAGCAACGCCCGAAGATGAAGAAGATGCCTGCTTCGGGGATTAGAAGAACGAAGAACCAGAAGGTCTTCCCTATTTTAAGTTTTGCTTGCAGTGATGAGATCCGACGCCAATGGTGGAAGTATTGACTCAGGTGGCTTGTCATTAATGAGCCCACGGAAAGAGTCATAGACAAGGATGTCTATATAGTCGAGTATGCTGTGGCCATCCGCAAGCAACATTAGTAGCCTCACTTGCTCTCTCTCTCTCTCTCTCTCTCTCTCTCTCTCTCTCTCT